TACTTTTGTAAAATCAGAGATTACTACCTAGTATAGCGATATCAATTAGTTTCTTTTTAAGGAAATAGTTTAAGTCAATCAAAGAAATTGAGTTTATCACTTTGATTATACTTTTTTTCATTACACTTTAATTTTTCGACGAAACGGGAATGATGAAAAAAAAAAAATCAAATTTTTCGACGGAACGGGAAAATCAATTAAGTTTTCGACGAAACGGGAATCTACCAAACATTCACACGAATTCAACGATAAATATGCATTTGAAAATGTTTTTAAGATATTTTTCATGATTTTCTAATGGATAAGTGAACTATTTTCAGTTTTTAATTAGATGACTGTCATCAGTCGATCAATTAAAATTGAGATTGGCACATATTTATTAAATTTGTTCATGTTGTTGATAACAGAGTTTTAAGAAAGGAGAACTCTGACATTCTTTTATCCACACAGTTAACATATATAGAAGATATTTATCTTAATATATGTATCCATGATACTATTTCTCGATAAAATCGACTATTAACAATTAATATAATACAATTTTATTTTGTCATGTTTCGAATTTATTATAAACATTCATTAGTAACGGGTGGGCCAGAATAAATTATACCATTAGTATTTCTAATATTTCTCCTCTGTTTTTCAATGAAAAAAAAAATTTCTGTTTATCAAAAAGAAGCGCTTTAAATTCTGCACAATACAGTATATTTCATTTAATGAATATAGCATCCTCCATTTTTTTTATTTCACGTAATCTTATAGTAAAATCAAGTACAGAATTTAAAAATTTTTTTTTTGTCAACTTTTGTTACGGAACGTTTTATCTCTTCAACCAACGTTGCTTTTGTTGCTATTCGATCCCAATTCATACATTGAGCCAGCTCGTTCCATAAACTGTAATCCAAGGGACATAAATCAGTTGAGTTGGGCGGCCAACGCTTCTTGGGGATGAAATCAGGAAAATGCTTGGCACACCATTCTTGAGTGAGATGATGTGTGTGAGGTCTAGCACCATCCTGTTGATAAGTCCAATCGCTCCCTAACATTTTATCACCACATTCGAGAGCTATTGGAAGAACTTCATTGATGTAAACCCCTGCATCCATCGTTCCATTTTCCAAAATGACTGGTGTTGTTAAGCCTGCAGCACATGCACCTAACCACACCATCACTTTTTCTGGATATTTGGTCTTCTCACGAAAACCACCTTTTCTATCAGCTTCTTCTCTACTGGCAGCCCACACCCGGTCGTTTTGTGAATTGTATATGCCGTCAAGGTCAAAAAACTTTTCATCTCTGAAAAGCCATTTTTTAGTGTCATCTTTGCTGTAGTTATTTAACACCCAATTAGCAAACTTAACCCTCTTTTTTTTTTTGAAGATTAGTTAGCTTAGGTTACTTTGCCTTTTTATACGGCTTACATCCAAGATCTTCATGGAGTATTCGCCGTATACTCGTTCTAGAAATATTCATATCTTTAGCTAATTTTCGTGTAGACACTCGTTTCTTTTGATTTAGACGGTTTTTAACCTTCACAATAGCGGCCTTTGTACGGACTGTGCGTGGACAGCCTGGAGGAGATGATAGCATGATAGAACCAGTTTTGTTGATCATTTTTATCCATAATTTAATTGTGGGTAATGAAACAGCTCCGGCTAAATCACGATAAATTTTTGCCGGACCATCACCATTTTCATATTTAATTTTTACAACTTTTTGTATATCTTTACTTTTCATATTTTTTTAAATGAAAGAGAAATAACTTTTAGGGTCAACCATACACTGTTTTGTAGAGAATTTCAAGCGCCATCTTTTAGTGTAAAAAGATGCCCCGATCGAATAGATAATAGAAGAGTTATACTCAAAATACGAATGGTATAATTTATTCTGGCCCACCCGTTATTATCAAAATGTTCTTGAATGATTAATTAGATTTCCGAAATTGTTACTGTTGATCATTATGATTTTGTTGTATTGAATTAACAAGATTTATCCAGCCATACAAAAGAAAATACTTCAAAATTATAATCATTTCCTGGTGCAGACTATTGTAAAGAATGGTATCATAGAATTATGCACTATATATTTTCGATACTAGAAATAAAAAATTGTCATATTGACCTGTTAAATATAAATTTAACAGTTGATTTATTTTTATATGTACTTATATTGCAAATTTATGCATACAAGGTATGATAGAAGGTGATCAAAAAAAATGTTAGTAAGAACATAGGTTTCACTTTAAGTTTATCGTTCTGCTTTGAACTTTTTCTTTCTTATGTACAAAAAAGACATTTATTTATACTCATATTTTACAGTAACCTTAAAGTATTATCAAATCATTACTGTTAGTGAGTATTATTCACATATGACAAATGTACAGCGCAAGTAGAAAATCAAAACACATTAATCATGATGAGACAGATAAAATATAAATGAATGATAAATTTTTCGTGCCTATTCTCATTGATAAATTCTGCTTGAAGAATTTTTCTTATGCTAATACCACTATACGAAACCAAAAGTATAAATTTAAATTCCATTTAAAATTTTCAATATTATCGTATTGTATTATCACAAAGTTTTGATGATATTCTTTGAATATGTTGTTCAATTCGAATGATATCTGAATTTATGAAAGATAAAGCTTGACGATAGATAGTAGCTGTTTTATCATAATACGATAAAGCTTCTTCTAATTGATCTTTTTTTTCATATATAAAACCAAGTCCACAATAGCATACAGCAATTTCGGGATGTAATGGATGAAATGTATTTTGTAAAATTTTCAGTGACATACGATAATGCTCTAATGCTAAATCATAATGACCAAGACATAAATGAATAATAGCAATATTATTATGTGATATACCTAAATCTGGTTGATCAATAGACAAATTTCTTTGACGAATAGCTAATGCTTGTTGATGACATTCAAGGGCATCTATATAATCTTCTTGTTTTTGATAAATTCCACCTAAATTTGTATAACAAATAGCTACATTTGAATGATATTCACCATTAGCTTGTATAGTAATTTTCAATGCTCGATAATATGATGAAAATGCTTGTTTATAATCAGATTTTTTAAAATAAATTCGACCAATACTATTATAACTGTCAGCTATACTCAAATCATTTTCTTTTAATATTTTTAATTTAGTTTCTAAAGATTTTTGATGGAATTTAAGACTTGAATCATACATATTTTTCTCCATTTCTATACATCCTAATGTGTAATAACAATCAGCAATTATATGATAATAATCAGATAATTCATTAGGTAAACGTGTAAAGTATTTTTCAGCTTCGTTTAACTTACCCATTTTTTTTAACAAATTTCCAAAAGAAAGTATATTTATTTTTTCATTTGTTTTAAACGATTGAAAAATTTTATTTAGTTGTTGATCATTATCTTGACATAATGATAATCGTACAATCCATAATCCATCTGATTGATGATGAATATTAACTAAACGAAAAATTGATCCTAATGTAAATAAAACTTCTTCAATTTGTTGAAAATAACTATTAGATTTGATAAAACCAAATGGTTTTGTTGAACTATTAGATGGATTGGCATCGATTTCGAATAAAACTCGTTCAAGGTCATTTGAAGATGGTGATCGATTAAGAAAAAATGTAGCTAATTCACGAGAAACAGTTGTTGAAAAAAATGAATTTATTGAAATTAAACGACCATAAGTTCGTTCACGTATTTTATAATCAATTTTAGAAACAACGCTTGAGTCAGTGACTATACAGGGAATAGATCATCAACCAGATAATCAGTTTCAAGGTTTTTTGATTTGCTTCCCTCCTGAAATAAGAGCATCAAATCTGAAAGTGTACATGATCGATGTAAAAGAAACACGTTTCTAATAGATGTATCTTATGATAGAAAAAAACGAAAACATGTGAAGTTTTCACAATAAGCTATTTTCTTTAGGATTTGTCTCTATTTAAATGTTCAAGCTGAAATCGTGAATCAGTTTTCCTAGTGTTTCGAAGACGGATCATGACTTTCAGTTAATAACAAAACTGTCACGCTGCAATATCTTTGCAGCGATAATCTAAGAATTCGAACATTTTACAAAGTATTCATAGCTCATAAGAATCTACAGGATGGACAACGTCTTGATTTCAAATAACATCAACAACAATTTTTATACCAAATCAAAGGGCATCGAAAATGGGATTTACCAATAGAGAATAGAAAAAATTATGACAAATTCTCAATGTCCAAGTAAAAGAATTAAAATTTGACGCCATATCAGCAGAAAAAACTTGTTTTCATGAAGCAGTTAAAATTAGATATCATTTTAAAATGTAACATCAAATTTTAAGAATTTCCTTGGTTTGGCCTTGAAAATTTGGCATAGTCCTTATTATTTAGCATTGATGAATCCCAGTTTCGATACGTTTTAATTTGTATTAAATTTATTCTCATAGATTAAATTAAAACCAATTGAAAACAAGGGAAAATAGATTTTCTTTTATGAAAACTAACACCTTTTAACGCTTATCATGAAGTTTAGATCCGGCG